TAGGGAAAAAAATATTTGGGAGGAAAAAAACCTAACTATCAATCATCTGCACATTTAGAGGAAGAAATAGAGAGAGAGCAAGTATAAATGAATCATAACTTGCATTTATATAGTAAACAAGATGTGTACCTCATGCATCATACCTTGAAGCAGAGAGGAACTGGCCTGCAACAGCGCTATGGTTAATGCTGTGTGGTTTGGGACAGTCGGCTTATTATTCATGTTGTTGAGATCTTGCTGGAGTGCCTTTGTTGGACTTTAATTGGCCTGTCCAATAATGCACATTTTCAGAATCAGGTGATTAATGTTAAGATTCGTAAAAGAGCCCTAAGGCCCTTATTTCACGGTCTGACGAAGTGAGCTGGTTTTCCAAAGGGCTGTGTCCCAGCAGCTCCTGTGAATAAGGCGAGCAGGAGCTGCTCTGAAACCTGTCAAAGCGTCTTTTGATGAATCTGGGTTATGACTCAGAGAGGAATCTTTCTGCGCCGGGTGCTTGCAGCCACTCCAGTCCCACTGATATCCCCAGGGAGGAAACCATTGTTACTGAGAGTAAATTAAGCTGTTGCAGATGCTAAGGCAGAATTTGTGACAGACCTGGATGCGAGCGGTGAGCCCAGACCCAAGAAGGTGTCGGGGATCGTGTGGGTTGTCTCATTTAATCACCGATTCAAACCTCTCTCCGGTACAGTCCGCAGGATGCTGTGAAATGTTGTTGGGTATTTTGCCGTTTCTTGCTTATTTGTGTCAACTCGCACCACCTGACGCTGGGGTGTGCTGTCAGCAGGGGCAGGGGGTACCCAGCATGAGTTGGAATCAGGACCTGTGCTGTCATGATGACAACATAAACTGGAGTACAGATAGATAATGCAGAAAGCACTCCATAGATCTGGATAAACATTAGGAAACTAAGAAAAATCTGTATTCTGGGTCTACATGTAAATACGTGCAGAGGAAGAAAACCTGTCAACTTTGATGATGATCTATTTGTCTTGTGGTCTTCTTATTTTCCCTTTATTTATTAAAAGACTGCACTCAAAAGGCTCTCTGAAGACTGTGCATTTCCATTTGCACAGCGAGTTGCAGGCCTCAAGGCTGGAACTTAAGCTAACAAGACACTTTTAAATTGTTCCACAAGCAAGGCAGCTCCTTGTCAAATGACAGATGAGGAGCATTTTGTGGTTGCTTTCTCTTTTAAAGAATTCTGGTGAAAGTCAGGAAAGCATAATACTTTCCTGATCAGCTTAAATGTTTATCTGATGTGCATCTGAAAGACAATATTGTCTTGAATATAAGCATGTCATTAAAGATAGGAGAGACACTGGCGCATTCTGCTGAAGAGGCAGCAAGGAAGGACGCTTTAATAAATACACATATTATCAATCATCAACAGAAATCTGGGTCACATGAGGAAAAGGAACACAGTGCTCTATGAAAAGTTATTTGAATAAATAAGGCTGTGTTGTGGCAGAGACCACTGTGTACTAAGTGCACTCTGTTTCGAGAGATTTGCCCTCAGAGAGCGTGGAGGACTGGCTCTTCCAGCCAACCCCTCGTGCTGGGACTCGGGAACTCCTGCCGTGACCTTGATCTTCCTGGGGCTGCTGTTGAGCAGCTCCCTGGCTGTCCTTCCTTTTCCCCTGTTTCCCATTTGGTGCCAAACTGCTTGTGGTTGTGAGGAAGAGAGAGGTTATAGACCCGCCTGGGCTCTCTTTAGTTGAATAATCTATGCCCACCACGTCTCTCAAGAGTACAAATGTGGAGCTTGGGTCACTCAGCCAGGACAGGACAACTTCCCATATTAATATCCAGAAGACTCAGGATTGATCCATCCAGACCCAAATGTACTTACACTTAAATAAGTTTTTGCTCATATTCTTGGCCACTTTGTGGCATTCACCTTCACTTTATGGCGTTTACCATTCACGAGGGTCACTCGACACACCGAGAGAAAGGCAGCGGGAGAGGCAGGTTTATAGGCAGTGACACCTTCTGACTGCCCCGGTTTTGAAACGTTAACCGTTTTGCTAACACACCACCGCCTTATTCCTGAGGAACACGCTGAACTTGGCAGGTGAGCCTCATGCCATCACCACATCCAGCAGCCAAAACAAATAGGTGGAGCCAAATTAGCACAAGTCATGCCTCACAAAGTACGTGTGGTGCTCAGATTGGTGCAAGCAGGAGTGTATTTGAGCGCTAGGGGACAGAAGGTGGCATGCTGATATAGGGAGTAGAGGCAAAAACTATCTCCTCACGTGTTGTGGTTATCTCCTCACATTTCAGTGTTGTTTCATAATTGTAAGCCAGCAGGCTCCGGTGAAGGCTGTGCATAAGCTCAGTGTTGTTAGGACACCTGCTTAAAAAAAAATCTCATATTTTGCCTAGAAAATAGAAAATCTAGAATTGATAGCAGAACAGTCAGCTAAGTCATTGCACTGTGCCCATCTAAATACTTCCTCGCTTCCTTCTCTACCTGCCATAGAAATAGCAGCCCTTATAATCAGCCCCATGCCTATTCTTGTCTTTACATAGAAACATTTTTTGCTGGTAATAATTTCCCAAGTTTTTCCATGGGAACAATTACTTTTTCTTTTACCCAAGCTGGTCCTGATACACATTGCAGCTTCCCACTTACTCTTTCTTCTGAAGTTACTACCCCGATGACATTTACATCCAACCTACTGGATAACTTTACTCGAGCTCCGCATTATTATGCAGACGAACAGCCATAGCGTTTCTCAAGCTGCGTGTCTCACAAGCGTGCTTAACGAATTGAGTCACTTGCATACGTACATGCCTTTCTCTACACCCACGTAATGAATAGGCTATGAAACAGTAAACACACACCTTTTCATTTTCTCAATTTTTACCTCTCGCTCGCTGTTGTTTTTTTTTCACTTGTTTATGAAAATACATCATTGTGTATATGAAAATCCACTCCTGATTTCCCTGCCAAGTGAACGTATGAGATGGTTTTGGTCGCTAGTATCGCAGCGTATCTGCCAGGATGTCAAAGCGTCAGGTTTTGTGCTCACTCCCTGCCTTTGCTTCCCTCCTAGGGCTCCACCTATTATAGGATATTTACCCTTTGAAGTTCTGGGAACGTCAGGGTATGATTACTACCACGCAGATGACCTGGAGCTTCTTGCTAGGTGCCATGAACACTGTAAGTTCCTCTCCCTCTGCACCGTGCCTGTCTTTGATCTCGCTTGTCACTCGTGCAAAACCTTCTACTGTCGTCGCAAAAGGCACCTTTATCCGGGGCAGGAGGGAATTCTCTCTTCCCATGGCAGATTGTCATAGCTGATGCTTCCCTGGGAGGCTGAATACCTGCAGAACTCTCTCAGATCAGGAACTCTTTGTGCAGGTTTCCCAAATTGGCAAATACCCTGTTTGAGCACAGATTGTCTGAGAGTGAAATGAGATTAATTGGGAAGTCAGAACCTTACACCCTCTGCCCCCAGTTTGTGAGGGCAGCCCCAAACCCTGGGGGGTTTGTTGATTGTCACAGTTCATGGGGTCTTGCTGTTCCCCTGGGCTCCAGCGTCAGCCAGGAGGCTCAGCTCACCAAAATGCCTTCTGAAAGCAGCATTTGGATTGCCTGCCTGTGCAATTAGACATTGTGAACCTCACTTACTACCAGTAAAATGCTTCTGGAGATTCAGACTCCTTTTTAAATTCGAAAGTACGGAATACAGATTCCCTGTGGGTCAAGATGGCTCATTTTTGGTCGACCTGAAAGTAAAGCAGAAAAGCAGAAAAGTCCAGTTCAGGCTGATGGTGAACACCAGAGAATGTCCATGAAGTTCATCTTCGCGCAAGGTGAAATACTGTGACCTGCAAGAGCCCAGGAGGAGCCAGGTCAGAAGGAGCACTTAGCCCGAGTACTGCGGCAGTGCAGCCCGCTGCTGAAGCACCGTGTCCTGCTGCAGGCTGGCGCTGATCTGAGGAAGGACAAAAGGAG